GTGAGTCTTGTTCTCTGCGATTTCATCTGATCACGAAGAGCTGCCTTTTATTTGGAAACATGCACCCAAAGGCCAAAAAACAGCTATCCAATGTCAAGGCAAGGAAGGCCTCTTTAATTACCTTTTTTCTTTTTTGCTTTCTGCTGTATCTCACCAGCTGGTGGCCAGGAGGGTTTTAGAACGAGTTTAATTAGAAAGTCAAAAATAACACCTTGCTTTTTCCTGCTCTAACTTGGTGAATAAACTCCAGTAAGTGTTGCAGGATTGTTCTTTCACTGCTCTCCCCAGTCCTCATTGCTTCCTTTAAAAAGAGGAGTCACTAAATTCTTATTAGTAAATCCTGGACATGGCTGGAGATGATTGAGTGGTGTACTTGCGTTTTTACCTAGTAGGGGTTGGCTCTGCCTGGCTATGAGCCACAAGGTGTCTGATCCCTGCTTGGAAGTGCCCAGCTTGCCCAGCTGGGTTTCAGGGGAAGATTACAACATTGCAGGTTCTGTATGAGCCTTTTCTGCTCCCTCTGATGCCCCTACTGATTTGCTTGTTTAATTAAACGGGCGTCAAGTGCAAGAGGGGTGCTAGCCTTCTGTCCTTTGGCCCTGCTCTGTCCCACTTGCAGTGGCAATGATTATCAGTCACCTTGTTGCTGTGTTATTCTGGACATACAGCTGCCTTTTCTTCAAATGTCAGGTTCAGAGAGAGATTTAACTTCCAGCCCAAGAAATAACCCACCGGACATCTAAGAATGGGTTATTCTCAGTGCCCCAACAATACCTACGTCCAGTGACATTAATCTGTTTGTACCTTAGTTTCAGCATCTGTAGACTTGGAAAGATTAGTCTTGCAAGAAAGTAGGAGAGAGAAGGGATGTTTGGGAAGTGTTCAAAGGCATTATTTAGCTGAACAGAGGGATGTAAGATTAGAGGATGTCTCTTACTTCTCCTAAACCAGTCTAAATATCCAAAGTAAAGATTTCCACCCTTAATACTTTTTTAAATGAAAAGCCAACAATAAGGAAATAACATTGACTATGAATCTATCTGTTTGGTTTCTCTTCTGCAGCCCTCTCCCATGGCAGCTGTGTGAAGCAGAGGCAGTGTACGATGTGAGGAAGCCTGATGTGTGGGATTGGATTCATATAGGTCTGGATGTGTGTTTTAAAGTAAAATCTCAGGCCCAAGTGCATTCAGCTGATCATTTGCTTGCATGCATGCAAACTTGTTATTTCTTCAGCAGATTCTTCTTCTTCACCACTCAGCAGTGAGCTGTGCCTTCTGGATATGTTGCTACAAACATCACAAATTGCTCTTAGTCTGAACTCTTACAGCTGAAACACCCTTCCACACGCTGAAAATAGCAATTGGGCTATTCCCACTAGCCAACCACAGGTAACAACTCTCATTTTGGAAAATGCTGTGGTTGCAGGCATCCTGAGCTATGGTAACAGTTATAAAATTAAAATTCAAACTGTATGAAAGTCAGGTATTTTAAGAGATTAGATTTAGGCTTGTTTTTTTTTTTTTTTCCCCCCTGGGAGACAAGACTTTCAAGCATCAGGCACCTTGTGTGAGTGATAACCATAAGCACCCAAGTGTAACTTACTTTTAGTATCTGAAAGTGCATTGTATTATTGTGCAGGATGCAAATTTCAGTATGATACTCCAAAGCAAATGCCTTCATGCTTCTCCCTAGCTAGCTGTAAAAAAATCCAGTCTTATTGATGAAAAACTAGCTTCCGAGCCCATTACTGGAATGGGTCCATTATCCATTCCTTCTATATATTCTTCCTTTTCCACAGCTCTGTCCCAGGAATGCTTTGGGCAAGCAATGGACTCAGGGCAGGACCTCCCTTCCTTCTGCTTTGTGGCTGCGTCCATTTCCAATCCATCTTTTCTGAGCGTATTCTTTGCCTCTAGCAATTCACCAGTGTCTGCTGGTGAGACAGCATTTCACTTCCTCATTTTGGAACTCTTCCACCAACGTGAACTGTTGTTGTTTTTGTGCGTGCTTGTGATTTCCTCTAAGCTCTAAGCATCTTGAGGAAGGCAGGTTGGATCTGATTTTTCAGAGGCTCTGATCTGGTATCACTCCATTTGAAGCCCTGTGGGAGAGATGGGCAATCAGTCTTCTGAAAACCAAGCTGTTTCCCTTTTTATTTGTCTATAGAAAGAACTGTGTGTAACTACTGAAATATTACTACTTTTATGAACTATTGTCTCTTTACTTGCCCCAACTTTGAATCTCCTGATTTCTGAGCAACTAGTTCTAAAAAATGCTGTGTGGAAATAGGGCTTTGACTGAAAAAAAACCCCAAAACCCAAACCCAAACCCCACACCAAAATAACACCGATGTATTTGGTTTAGAGCTGTCTGAAAAACTGAAGTTGTTGAACTGAAATACACAGTACTTCAACCAGCTCTGATTTCTGTGTTTATTTACATTTATAATATAATGAAACTAAAAACTGTCTCACATAGTCTCCTATGCATTTGCTATGCCATTTGATCACATGCAAGGAAAAAATTACAGTATTAGCCTCTCTCCCCTCTTTGAGCATTTGGAAAGGAGAACCCAAAGATAAATGTATTCCACGTTACACAAACATACTACCCGAGATGCAATTATTTTTCCAAAAGCAAAGTGGCACACTTCCAAGTACCTAAATATCCTATAGATTTTAAAGTACATTCTTCAGTTGTTCAACAGCAAAAGTGGGCTGGATATTAACTAGAAGTTGCTATTTGACACCTTCTAGTGTAACTCACAAGGTGAGTTAACTGATAGAGTAATCTAGGTAATTTTGTTATGAGTTGACAGTTAAAAAAAAAGGTACATAAAGGCTGAAAAGAAGAGAGGGAAGATGTGTTAGAATGTGAAGTTGGAAGTAGCATGATTGGGATTAACCAGATATAAAAATACTTCAGACCTGTCTGGCTTGCAACTTCCAATGGTGCTGAGATTGCTGGGAATTGAGGGTTCTCTCCTAAAGTCTCCCGTTCTGCGGAATGTCACATTGCTGCACACATGTAGCTGTGCAGTTTTGAGGACTCGCAGCCAGTACCCTTACTGCATGTAGGGCTTGAGGGATTGGTAGGACTAGTTGCCAAATAAGGTGCCGTACAACACAAATAAGGTCAATGAGCTCTGGCCCTTGCTGCTTAGGTAGATGATATCTCTCAGGTTTTTTAACTGCAAGATCTGTTGAGCCTTTTCAAATGATGGATTTAGCTTAAATCCTGTTTTACAAAGTTTGCCAGACTCTTTCTTGTCTTTATAAATCTCATCAGTGATCCAGCAAGTCATTTCATCTTTTAGAAAGAACCAGAAGCACAGGAATTCAACAGGGGCTATTGAACTAAATGAATGCAAAGTTCTCAATAAGTAGCCAGAAAATATATTTCTCTAAAAACGACTTCCAACAGTATGTTTTCATAATCAAGTCCCTGACTATGTCATGTCCAACAGACCGGAAATTTCAGAGACACTATCGGAGCTAGATGCATGCGGAGAAATTAGGCACTCAAATGCTTTGTCATGTGCCAAAGTCTAATGTTTATGGGTCACCGGTATTCATGTGGCTTCCGCTTAACCCTTTAGCATGGAACTGAACCCAGGTCTCTCATATCCTTGGCTGAGTGCTGGAATTGTTGGACTTCTCAGTAAAATGGTGGCTTCTTTGTGGAGGGTATGTGCGGCTGATCAGGCTTGTCAGAGAAGGTCTCAGCCTGAGGTCAGAGGGAGTGCCCGTTTTAGGGATGCTGAGGGAGCTTTTGTATGAGATGGACCTTAAACAGGTCAGCAATGCCAGGCCTGAGTCAGTCAGGCTCACACCCAGCCCCAGAAGCGTGGGGTCTATCCCTGGAAATGCAGCCAGAGGTGCCTGTAAGGTGCAGCAGGGGTTTTGTGAATGACAGCAGGACCAGGGGATGGACACAGTAGGCATCAACGGTGGAGTGTAGGGATGCTACCTTCTCCTTGTGCATTGAAACCTCAATGCAGAAGGGTCTCTTACTATTACATTTTGATTTAGGAACATAGAGGAACAAGGTTAATGCATTTATTCAACGTGCCTGGTGAAAATATGTTAAGACTACCTTCTCTGTGTAACTATCTTGACTGTTACCAGCTCCTTCAGTTAAAGTCCGCATCAGCGTGAACGCAATTTCCATGCATTGTTTCAGTCTGGAAATGAAACAATTTTCATTAATGGAAACCTGGTTCTCAAGCAGAACAATTAGACCCACTTCAGGTTGAAAAAAGATAAAAGCATGCTAATTTGGATGGAGGACTCTTCTTTCAAGGCAGCCAATTGAGTCATCAGCCTGCCACCCACCTGACCGTCTGACAGGTAATTAGGAGATAGTCCTCTTTTTGTGTGGAGTGTGTGCGTAACCCTCCACACACTGGTGTCACTGCCCATTGGGACTTCCAGAGGAAAGAGCTAGTCAGTGGCAAAAGAGTGAGGGGAGCACGTTTGTCAGACAGTGCCCAATGAACTGACTTGGGTTTTGATTTAGCTCATTATTTTTGTCTTTTAACAGCTACCTGAAGTTTCTGGCAGTAAAGTCGTTATGGCAGACCTGGGCTGCAAAAAACCCAGCGACTGCACCGTCTCCAGGCTACTCAGCGTAGTGGAGAGTGAACTCCGGGCTGGGAGAGACAAAGGCGACCCCACTGAGAAACAGCTCCAGGTCGTCTTAGAGGATGCGACGCTCTGGCAGAGATTCAGGGAAGTCACTAATGAGATGATTGTGACCAAGAATGGCAGGTGAGTGATCTGCTCAGCGTTGTGGGCTATGTGTAGATGACAGCCAGGGGGGTTAAGAAGTATAATAATAAACTGTGTGTGCAGACTAGAAAGAACTGCAATAAGGACCTAACTGTTTTATCCCTGCAGCCTCACAGTCCCCTAAAACCAGCATATGAACAGAATTGGGTGTCCCTGCTCCTTTTTGGTCACTGCTAAACCATTCCTGCCACCCTTTATCCCTGCTTGTGAAACATGCTGGAGAAATACATTGACTGACTTGAGGTTGCACAGTAAGGGAACTTTTGCAAGGGAATAGATGGTACCTTTCAAAACCTTTTGAATGACTTCTTGTACTAATAATCATCAGCCTTTATTAGCAAGTCCTTACCTGTAGACCTCAATTTACCGTACAGAAGCAGATTGGTGGTGTTATCTCCAGCTGCAGTTTCTGTCTCTCTGGCCTTGGGTATTAACAGCTTGTACAAGCAGTCTGTACTAGAGTGGGGTACAATAAAACTGTGCCCTACATGGCATGTATGTGCAGTCTGGATTGTGTGGTCCCACAATGGTATCGCTCCATAGCTGTTGCTGGTGCCCTTAGAAGCAAGTGTGGAATACTGGTTAACACTGTGTTTTAGAAAGACAAAATACTGTGATGTAAATGGATCACATATCTTACTATTTGGGGAGCACAGGAAGGCATAGGAAAAGAGTGCAAAACCTGTCAAGAAGGATACTAATTCTGAATCAGATGCTAGCTTGAAGGAGGCTCTCCAGAGAGGTTCTGCTCTGAACTGGACTGACAAGAGTCCAGCCCATACCAAACAGGCAGCTACTAGAATAAGGTTTGCTGGTACAGTTGTACTAAGGTTTTTATTTAATCTCCCTTCGCCACCCCTCTGCCATCCCCTGTCTCCACACCTCCCCCCCGCAACATGCACACATTTCTTTTGCAAGACCTCTCAGGAGGTCCGCATAGGAGAGAGGAATTAAGAGATGGAGAGAAAGATTTACTCATATGGCGTGACCTTTATTAATTTTGCAGACTTTGATTTAGCAGAATTTGTGATCAATGTTGCTGTTGACTGTAGCTTGACAAGGGACATAGGTGAAAGCAGTTAAAAGGAAAAATCTAGTCTGTTGGCCCAGAAAAGTTATTCTGTTGAGAGAACAGCTACCTTCCCAAAGTATCAGCTCTTGGTGTAACACTGCGTGTTGCCATCCTGATGCCTCCTAATAACCTATAGGGATAGAAATCTTCTGCTGAGGTTTGCTTTACACCAAGAAGCTGCTTTTGCTTCATTTAAATTGCTTTAAAAACTGCTGTTAGGCTACAACAAACTTCTGAGTGGACTTTCATTTAGTGTAAGGTAGCTTAAACTGACTCCTTAGTAGCTTAAGTGACCAAAAATGAGGTAAGACAGGTCTGCCTCTAATTAATTAAATTGGTACAAAGAATGGCACCAGCAGGGTTTTTTCAATTTCTTTCCTCTCAGCTAATGTAAATCATGATTGCATGGTGATACTAGTTCTCCCTAAAATGTCTAGGTGAATGCATAGCTAAAATCTTTTATGATGATGATAAGGGAATCTGTTGTTACTTGAGTGTGCCTGGTTACTTTTTATTTCATTGTGTAAGCTGCCTTATTTTTCTTTATTCTAACTTATGCACTCCTTATCAGCTTCATCCAATTTTTCCTGAAGCCAGTGACAGCTCTAGTAATGTCAGTGGGGGCAGGAACAGGTTCTTTATGATCAAACTACAGCAATCTCAAAATAAAAAAATATAAAAGTATGTTACACTGTCATCTGCATAAACCCTTTTAACAAAGTTAGTGTAGCATCAGGGACTATGAAAAAGGATATGTTGCATTTCTGAAAGTATCTTCCGTAACAAACGCATCAGCGCACTGATAAAAAGGCAATACAGACAGCGGCCTGCAGCAAAGCTCTCTGAACAACCCCATGCTATTCAAAAGGAGACAAACTTGAGACAGTTTTCTACGAGTGCTGAGGTTTTTTCAGGTTCAAGATTCTCCAGTGAATCCCCTTCTCCAGAGGGATTCTCAATAGAAAAATTATCGATGTACTTCTGCTGCTGCTTAAATCAGTGGAACTAATTGAGTCATTCTTGCTGAAAGGTATATGAACACTTTTGAAAACTGTGTTCTACAATTAATGAGAAAAGCCGGTCTGAACTTCTGCATTGGAAAACTAAGGCAGTTAGTGTGGACACATTGTTAGCAAAACTCAGAAATTAAACTGAAACCTGATACAGGAGCATCCCAGAGGATGAAAGGCTGATTGATTAGTGATCCTTAAGTGTAAAATTCTAGCATGCACAATTCTATCTGCTGTGATTGAGTCATCTCTAACTGGTACCGAGGATCCCAAAATGTTACAATTAGATCAACCAACTTCAGTGTTAATGCATAGATGTGTCTCCATTGCTGTATTGTACTTCATTATAATAATCACCTGCCATAGCAATATGCCTAGGTACACAGGGAAGATGGATATATTCTGAACAGGACAGGCACCAGTGAAATTCAACCACAGGCTATATCACAAAATACATCCCAATGGATGCAGTTGATATGGTGGGAATCAGTCTCCTATTTTACTCAGATTTATTGTATTCAATTGGCATTTCAATAACAAATGCTCTGTTTTCTGATTAAGTAGGTTTTCTCTCTGTGTTTATACGATATTAACTATGTAGTATCCTGAGACTTTGCAATCTATGTGTCTGCCTGGAGGCAGGAAGGTGCCACTGTTTCCCTCTGCATATGGGGAGAATCTACAGTGGATCAATGCAGGCAAATGTGGCGGGGGGCAGAAGCCCTTTCCAGGCTTAAATACTAAAGCAACTTGACCGGTTACTACACATTCAAGTTTGATATCAAACATCTTCCCACTCAAGTTCTGTGCTGTGGAGTAACTGCAGTAGATCTGCTCTAAAAAAATTGAAGATGCTGAAGTGCTCAGCTATTGCAGTAACAGAGGTCACGTGTGTACCTACCTGATCGTTGAAGCAAACATTCTGACTGAAACAGATTTGGAGAAATCATCATTTGCCATGCTAAAAGAAAGACAAATGCTATTTTAACAGTAAAGCCACTTAATCAGCAGAACAAGTGAGGTGGTAGGTTTTCCATTGTTAGAATCTGTACAGTCAAGACATGCTGGGTTCAAGCGAGGTGGGGATTAACTGTGTGTGAAGCAGAGTTTAACGCAGGGAAGTGCTATAATCTCTGTGATACAAGAGGTTAGAGTTGATGATGACTGTATTGTCTTCTGGCATTAGTCTGTAGGTCTTTTGGGGATAAACTCAAGCCTCTCAAGTAGAAAGGCAGAGAAGACTGCATTGTGGGCAGGGGAATTAGCAATCTGTATGTAACACAAATAGTTCTGAGAAATCTAGTGAAATTAAATTTTCAGGTGGGTAAGTTTTCCCCTCCAATTTCAGGTAAATATCTAAGAGTTTTACTCTGAAGACTGACTGTAGGAGGTCTGGGGGCTATAGGGAGCAATGTGTCCATACTTTTTATCACATCCCAGTTTGATGGCTGGTGCATCCTCATCAGAAAAACACATTAAATGTAGCATATAAATCCTTGGCTAAGCTTCTATTTAGTTAGAAAGATCACAGTTCAATATATCTTTCTCAATGTTGCACTGGCCCTACATCACCAAGTATTCATATTAGATGGAAAATCTCAAATTTCTCAAATCCTGTCTTTTGCTGTGAGCAGAATGTGGTGAATGTATACAGCAAGAACTATATAGAGGTGCCCAGAAAGGTAAGTGGTGAGCGGGATGTTATAAGACCATAGGAGATTGTCAGCAGTTGGGGGCCACTGGAGAGTATGGCTGAGGGGGCAGAGACTTTTGGTGTCCCTTGAGACAGCCTGGCATTTCGGTTCCCTTCTTCTGTATTTTGGACATCTTGCACTGCTACCTAGCTAAGCCTAGAGAGCTACCTTACCTTAGCCCCATGGCCATGGACCTCAGGCAATAATTGCTGTGGTTGCTTGGTGTAGCCAGCCTCTCTGTACCGCTATGGAAAAGGAGCTTGAAGATTCATTGGCCTCTGCATAAAAACGTGGCATGGCAAAATGGCAGTTGCCAGGAGAGGTCAGTATGGAGGTGTCTGGGGCACGGAGGCCTCTTACTCATATAAGAAGAATGTAGGAGGTGACATGTAAGAGCTATAATAATCCTCCACAGTTAATGATGTGTATTCCTTGACAAGCTAAGAAACTTAATGAATAGGACACCTTTGTTAGGAGACTCCTATGTTCTGCTGACCACAAATTTTTCCCAGTTCCTGAAACTGTTGGAGCCCTACTAACTATTGCTGCAGACTTTCAGGCACTGAGATGCCAATTCAAAGCTGTGTGGTATGAATCACAAGTACTGGGACAGACAGAAAACTTCCGAACATCTAGCTGTAAGCTGCTGCAAATCTCCTTTGCAAAAGAAAAAATAGTAATTAAAAGGGTATTGATGAAGGGTAGCATTGGACCTTTAAGCGCAGAAGGAGCTGCTCAAGGAAGATGTTTTGAAGTATTTTCCCAAAACTAAACAAAGGCAGGATTTCAGTTTTAAGATGGTGCGAAGGCTGGAGGATAGGTGTTTAGAGCTTAGTAATGGACAACACTGCATCTAAGGTGGAACTAAAAGCAGAAGAACCTGTCTTGATCAAGCTAATGAGGTCAGGGAATATGGAAGACCAAAGCAGGACCAAATTACTGGAAGAACTGCCAAGTGCAAGATCTAACAGCAAGGATTTTAACCAGACTTCTCAAACTGGAGATTTATGTAACGGTAGTGGGACAATACATGAATACTTGCACTTAAAAAAGGGAGAAAACACATTTCCACTATTAATATATGCTTGTAATAAGAATTCAGGATGTATTTTGAAGACAAGGATAATGAAATATGTGGAAGACAATAGAAAATGAGATAAAAAGGCATTTTATTAAATTTAAGTCATGCCAGACTAACCCAACACAACCCTGATAAAGAACTATTTTTACAAAAGGGAAATGTAGCAGACTTATCAGGGCATTTAGAATAGCGCTACCTGGAAACCATTACTCAAGTGGGAGATGTTGGTGATTAACACAAGAACCACAGGAAATGACAGAGGGAAGTGACTGACTTTGTTCACAAAGATTATAGAATATGACCATCCCTTCAAAGGAAGGGAGAAAACCCTTTGGTATAGAGCACGGGTCAATAAATCTAACTGGAATCTGAGGAGTGCCTGGCTGGGATTATGTCCTGAGTGCTGGAGATTGCAGGCTGATTTCAGAAGATATATCCAGAGTCAGACAAGGTGGGATTAGGCCACTGGATAGAGTACGGGAGTGTGTTTCAGGGGAATCTAAGCACCAAAGAAGTGCACTTTATAATAGGATTCTGCAGTGAATGCAGTGAATCTGTGGTTCAGCTCCACCTTGTCAGCCATTTTCAACTCTGTTCGTGCCTTCTTGTCCCACACCTAAGGATGTATTTAGCATGTCCAGATCCCATGGACTCTGCTTATGCTATACACAGTTCATTATGTTCCTAACTCTTGGCATGATCAAGACCTTAGTGCCCTACTTTAGAGATAACATTTTTTTCCAAATGATTGAAATAAAATAAAAATAAAATGAAGGATTAACCTTTAAGAGACTTATTCAGCTAGATGGAGGGAGGGAGGATGTTTTTTACATTGACCTAATCTGTGAGCATCTGGTCACAAACATACTGAGGAACATCTTTCAAAACCAGTTTCCAGTGGCGCGCCCCTCTTTTGTTTCCTGGCCAGGCGGATGTTCCCTGTTTTGAAGATCAGCGTGTCAGGCTTGGACCCAAACGCCATGTATTCCTTCCTGTTGGACTTTGCCCCGACTGATGGCCATCGCTGGAAGTATGTCAATGGAGAATGGGTGCCGGCTGGGAAGCCAGAGCCGTCAAACCACAGCTGCGTCTACATCCACCCAGACTCTCCCAACTTTGGGGCCCATTGGATGAAAGCTGCCATTTCCTTCAGCAAAGTCAAACTTACCAACAAGCTCAATGGGAGTGGGCAGGTATGGCCTGATGTTTCCCCATACACCTCTTGGCTTCAATTGCAAGCACCTACTAATCAAGAAATATCAAGGGTGCATTTATGTAATTATAGAGGCCCTTACAGGCCTCTTCACCCACAGATGCCAATTATTCTCTGGAGGCCAAATGTAAACAGGAATAAACAGGCCTTAATTGGCGCTTTCAGATTTTAATGGACTTCTTGATGTTAAGAGAGACAGAGTGCTGTGGTTTACTTAATCATCAGGGGGCTTTTCAGAGTTGGTCTTGTGTGCTGGGGATTTTTACACAGGACTTCAGAGAAGGGGGAAAAAATGGTCATGGGTATTAGGTTTTTGTTGTGTTCCCCCATGTTGTTTGGTGTAAGTGGAATGTTGGCAGGAGTCAGATAGCAGAATAAAAGGCTGCTCCTAAATGAAATAATTACTATGTCTGCTTCTGCATCATGATAATTATCAATATTCTATTGAATCAGCTTTGGCCTTTGGAAAGAAACCACATGTACCAGAAATAAGTGACTTTCTCTTTGAACCCCTTAAAAATGCAAACAGGAAAATTAGTTTTGTTTTGTATTTTATTTTTGATGATGCATCTGAAGGTAAAATGTTGCACAAGACCTTTTGTTGTTTTGTACAAAACTCCTACATTGGATGACACTTGTCAGCCCAGAATCAATTTCTTTCATGTAAATATTATACGTTCTCTATCTGTTATTTCCATTAGGTTTGTGAGGTACCTCCATAAGCCTAGTACCCTAATTAGGTAGGAAATTATCTCAGTTTTTACAGACTGGAGAACAGAAAGATGACCTGACTTTTCCTAAGTCACACATGGAATCAGCACACAAGATTTATTGTGAAGCATAGAATGGGATCTGAATTTGCAAATTCTTGTCCTGCATCCAAGACCTCAGAAAAGTCAAAGGCCTCAGAAAAGTATGCATGGGGGTAAAAAAGCTACAGGAAACCAACTTGGAGGGTCAAAGAGACCCTGGGGAAAAAACAGGGGAATGTGATATGTATATATGGTGAAGTGGAGAGGAAAAAAGTAGAAAGCAGGGGAGGAAAAGCCATATGAGACAGAGCCCCAACAAAAGTCACTAAATGGAAGTCACTAAATAACAAACAACTGAAACTCCCCTTGTTTTGTTTTGAAATCTTGACAACAGTGTTAAGGTAAACCACGTACCCACTCTGTGCTTCAGCTTCCCCTTCTGTGGTGTTATTAGAAAGTAATAGCTAACTAGCAGTGCTTTATGTTAATGGGTGTATTCTTCCATATATATATATATATGCACACAGCACTTTCCAAAGTACAGATTTTTTTAAAAAGTATCTTCTTCTTGCAGTAGAGAGAATTAAGCAATGTAATAGACTTCCTGAGGAAGGTGTATTGTGGAATCAACACTATTCACAGCTTTTAATTCCAGGTTAGAAACATCTGCCAAGGCTTGTTTAGATACACTTCATCTTGCCCAGAAAGATGACTAGATGACTGCCCCAGCTCCCTCCTGGCCCTGATTTCTGTGATGACGATTCTGAGTCTTTCAGATAGTAGAAGCAGGGCAGGGATTGCCCCTTAACTGTTTCAACAGCCTCTAGTGCAGTGGAAGCCCAATGGTTTGAAGGACATAGTTGCTAAGACAAATACTCTCTAATGCTGCTGTAGCGAAAGCTTTAAATCCGAGTCCAGTGAAGCCTCACTCTGTTCAGCCCTGTGGTTCATCAGAAGGGAGGAAGACACCTGCCCTTCTGCTCTAAATAATCACTGACTTGGGAGGTTTAGCAGTGACATCTGGTCTATTATAGAGCCAGAGCAAAAGAGCAGCTGTGGGATACCAGGGTGGCATTGGAGTCTGTCTGTCTTCTTTTGTTTTCTGCAGATAATGTTGAACTCCCTGCATAAATATGAGCCCCAGGTACACATAGTTCGCGTAGGAGGCCCCCACCGGATGGTGATGAACTGTTCCTTCCCTGAGACGCAGTTCATAGCTGTGACTGCCTATCAAAATGAAGAGGTAGGCGGATACCACGCTGTGTTCTTGGTCATCACTGATGAGATATATTAAAAGCTTATTGACTACAAGATCAGCATGGACAGACAGGTCCTTTTCTTGTTTCCCCACTAGTCCCATGCAGTGTAATGCTCCATCCAGTCTAATACTTTGCCTTCTCTCTGCAGTAGAACATTGTCTAATCCAGTGTCTGGGTGTAGTACCAAGCCAGGTTTAGCTTAATATCCTGCCACAGCTATTCCAGACTGGTCCATCTGTCCTGGCACCCCAATCCCTTACTGGAAAAAACCCTACATTCAAGTCCAATGTCTTTCTCCAGCAATGACCGATAGTTATAACAATAACCCTACCTTCTCCCCGCTCCTTATAATACATACAATTCCAGAGCAACACAACATTCCGTGGGAAAATTTCTTCCCAACCCCAAAATTGTAACTGAGGGATTGTGACGATTGCGAACTCACGTGCCATATACCTTAGCTAGTGTTGCTGCAGATTAGATTCATACTTGGTAGGAATTCCATGTTTAAACTCTCTTGAAAGGGCTCCCCATCCCACAGGATTTCCCAGACTAGACCACACCATTAGGCTGCCCTGACAGGTGGCACTGATCAGTACGCAGCACCCTGCAATGAGCAAAAGCTCTCTCATAGCCAGCCCTGGAAAACATCATGTATGGGGATATATTTTGCTGGGGTAACCAAGGCAGTTCCACTTAGATTACTGTGGAAGATGTTTTGTCAAGTATCTCTTCCAAATTGCCTTCACTAACATGCCTTGTTTTCTGTAAACTCAAGATAACAGCTCTCAAAATCAAGTATAATCCCTTTGCCAAAGCCTTCCTGGATGCAAAAGAAAGGTGAGTTCATCTTTTTTTTTTGCTCTGGTAGCATTTTCCTGCTGCTATGGTTAAAACTGTGGCATCACAATGTGAAAGATAGATTATATAACTTAATCTTGTTTCTGCTGTCTTAAATCCAGAGTCACTCCACTGAAATTAGTGGGGAGTCTCTCTATATAATTATTATCACAATAGGGTCTGAAGTGGGTGAGTATCCTCTTGGGGATCCTAGGACTTAGCACTGTCTACACAAGAAGCCTGAAATGAGATGGTGTGAATTTCCCCAGTAATGTCATACACTGTGTATGTTCACTACATTGTACTTACGCTCCAATGAATCCCATAATTTGATAGCTTAGAGAGAATAAAAGTTAACTGCATGTGTAAAAAGCATAATTAAAGTGAAATTGCACTGTAACTGTAATATAACTATGCTGCTATTATTAAACCTGTGTGATAGTGTATGAAGTGCTTATTTAAAGTAACCTGTAGGTGCTCAGTATGTAAGATATTAGAGGTGCTTCCATCAGAAACAAATTGTGGTTTATCTTGCAAAGTTTTACTTGCATCATCCATGCTAATGCAATGGGGCATCCAAGTGAGGCATTCTGGTCCATAATTGCTAATAAACTTTGTTTGGACCTGCTATGTCTTCTGACATGAGAAGTGTCCCGCATGCCTGCAGGAGAACTTGTATTTCTTTCCGTTCCTCTCGCCACTTGAAAAGCTGCTCTGTCTCAGCATCAGGGATCCCAGCTGTGGAGGGGGAATGCTGCCTTCGGCTTGCCTGGCTGAGCAGGAGGCAGAGAGAGCCCTGCCTTGGTCTGGGTGGGAAGCCAGGCTGAAGCAGGAACGGTGCCCACAGGTAGATTTAGAATTCCAGGTTCAGCTCCCAAATTTGGCACAAACTTAGGAACATTTTTATGCATGCCATGAAACATAAGTTCCTGCTTCCTTTATGGCAGACTGCAGTAAAGTCTACTGCTGTCTAGCAAATGATTAAAGAAGATGGATTTCCCTCCTTTTTAACTTACTGTTCCATTTTTTTTAGTGAACGGTTCTGTTTAACTTTCTTTTGTAATTTCTCAATGAGAAGTTTTACCACTAAGTATTTTGCTTTTCAGAAACCATCCCAAGGATGCTTCAGAAACAGTCTCTGAAGGTCAACATATGACATATTCTCACTGTAAGGTTTCTATTCATGTCAGCTGGAAGTTTTGTGTGATATGATAGGTTCTGGGAACCTGGGACTTGCTTAACTGGATCATACCACTCATTCACTGAGTCCTGAATTGTGCTTATAGAAAGGGACCCTTTAAAAAAAAAAAAAAAGAAGATTGAAGAAACCTCACAGTAGGAAATAATGCAACAGTTTCTGCAGAGGGATCATTTTCTTTATGATCCAGTTTTTCAATATTAAAAAGAATCTAGAATTAAGTTGATATATGACATTTTTAGGGCTTTCCCTTTATTTTGTATTTGTAACTGAATATTTTTGTCACCTATAAAATTCCCTTTCCTTGGTGAACAGGTAAAAAAAAATCTGGGGAGCAGAGGTTGTGTTTGTTTTAATGATCGTCAGTTTTTCTTTCATTTGTTCTTTGATGTTTATGACTTCTTCTGTTAGTTATTTTCCAGTCTTGTTTTTAGGTTTTGGGTTTTTTTGGGTTTGGGGTTTTTGTCTCTTTTTGTTGTTGTTGTTGTCTGTTGTCAGTTGTTCCATAAACCAGTATCTTGCAATCTGCTTCGTATTTCTGAGGCACAGCTGATTCTGCAAGAAGGCTGGTTACTTTATCATATTGCAGTGTCTTACTGCAATAATAGTCGTCTTCTCTCTTTCCCCTCAAAGTGGGTGGCTGGTTGATTTCCAACCCAGATCCAATGTGTGCGTCAGGAAGCTCTAATTATCAGTACACTGGACCTTTGCCTCTGCCAGCTCCACACACTCCCCACAGCTGTGAGCGATATTCAGCACTGCGAGGACATCGGGCTGCTCCGTACCCACCTTCCTACATGCAAAGAAATCATTCACCTACAGGTACAACTGCAATGCTGCTTTGCTTCCAGGGAACAGACACTCTCTGCCTGCCTGACCCTTGCTTTAGGTTAGCATGAGCATTAAAACAAGCAAGAGCTGAGGGTAGGAAAGAGCATGATGAGTCTCTAACAATCTGCACTGAAGCCTGCGTGCACAGGGTATGTTTAAGGCAGCAAAACAAGAGGTACAAAGAGCTGGGTGCACTGTAAGTGTTAATAATAAATGAGAGTGAACGATCTTGCTTAAGTACAGCTCCCAGTTATACAAACAGAGCATTTCAAGCCTTCTTGCAATGTCATGCCATGAAGCAGTTGTGCTCTCAGGTCGAAGCAGCCTTTAGGAACATGGTAGGAGCTGACTTGAGATGAGGGCATTTTGGTATTGCAAGAATGTCTTTTGAGTCCCTTTCACTCTCTAGATCTGGGTGCAGAGTTCCAGAAATTGATTGTCTTTTGATCAGAGGAAATTGGCCAGAAACAAGAGTAAGGATAAAGTAATCTGCTCACTAATTCTAATTTAGCAAGGTATCCTGTTTAATGGAAATATTTAAGCTCAAATTATAAAGAAGTCTGTATTGAAACATTGCCAGTCATATGGCAATTATCATTAATGAAAAGACTATTAGTCAGACTTGCCAAAATGTATATCCTATGTCTATCATGCTGTACGTTCTCATATATCACACCTGGAATTACAATGGCATCTTGCTACTCTCTTATTAAACACACAAATTTTGTACTTTTACCTATGGTTTGGAGCCTCGTGATCAGATGGCTTCCTCAGGCCTACCCATGTTCTGCTGCCTTAGGACAGTCTTTCTGCAATAGTCACTGAGGATTTATCTGTTGCTTTTTTTTTTTCCCCCACAAAGTTAATTTGTTGGAGAGCTCCAGCAATAATCTTCAGGTATTCTCAGGACATGACAGCTGGACTTTGCCATCCTCTCCACATGCTAATTTGCTCTCAGTGCCACACACGAAGGGAGCTGCCAGCCCTGGACCCAGGTAAAGTTACAGGAAAACTGCTGGTATTTGGAGCAGTGATGCTTGTAGGACTGCCCTAGTGATTCACGCTTTGTTGCAAGCTTTAATCGGTGTCCCGGATTTGAAACATGTCCTAATTGCCTAACTTGAGATTCCTGGACAGATTGTTCTGACAAGCTAATTATCCTCTGCTCTGAACTCAATGGGAGCTTCATTTTTCCCCCGCACTGCTGAAAACCAGGATCTTGGAACAGCCACAGAGAACTCTGATATCTACAGTCTGTGAGCATTTTAAAGCCGAATTATTTTTCTCTATATATTCCTCACTGTTCTCCTGCATGAAATGAGGATCCTACTCCCATGCAGGGATTTAACAATCTAATTCATGTTCTATTATAAAAATACTGTCAATAGGGTAGTAAACAAGGAATGGCTGGAATTTAGACCTAGAGAGTCAATTAATTATCAAGTATTTCCACTTCTTTTCCCAAAATAAAGGCACACATTTCTTCTCTGATTTAGATGCCAGGAAAATCAGCTGCAATTCTTTAAAATTCTTAAGCATTCACGAAAATGATCTTTAAATCTTGAAACCTCACTTGTATTTGTACATTTCTCTCCATGACTCTCCCCAAGGTCACCGAGTCTGATGGTTGCTGGTGGTTTTTCACTTAAGATCTGCAGGGCTGATCTAGTTTAGTAATTCAATTCAGATAACTGCCTTTTAGCAGATAACGCACTTGACTTTACCGTGGTAAGTCTCATGCAGGGGAAAATGCTTTGAAATAAGTCATTCAATTTGTACTGCTTTTTTTTCCAGCCACTACCCTTGCCTGTGGACAGTGAGCAACAGTGCTGTAAACGTTGCCAACCCAGGAAGCGAGGTGAACAGCAGCCCTTCAAGCATGTTTCTAAGGGGTAATGTCCCCTTACCTGCTGCATCATCAGTCCAAATCCCTCTGCAGGGAACGGTGTCTGGCAGCATGGAAATGCAAGGGGAAGCCGCTCTAGCCAGACTAGCCGACTCTGCGTGGACAACCTCACACTCCTTTTAATGAACAGGCAGCTCACGTGGGAAGCTCAGCCAAACAAGACTGACACAAATGGCAAACGATCCCCTAGGAGTGCAGCTCAGAGCAGGGATGTGTATGCAGAAAACTGACTTCATCAAACATCACTTTCCATAATGTACCTCTCGTGTACCAGAGAAGCCAAAATGCATAATGCAAGGGCAGGAAATGTTATGGGAACCGGCTTATTACTGTAACCTTTATGTGTCATTCAGGATGATGTCCGGAATCTTTATAGCTAGTTTTGCTTCTATATCACATAAAAAATGGTCAGACATGGGACTGAGCGAAGCAGACATGGCAGCTGGATATTCGCATGTAATTTTAAAAGTCCTTTCTGTAACTAATGGCTGAGTCCAGGGGAAATCGTGAGCAAGTTCGCAACTGGTAATTTGAAGGTATAGTGCTGCTTTAAGGACGGTTTGAATCTGTCACATGAAGGTTTTCACAATACCTGAAACTAAACCCTTCCGGGGATAAAATTAGTCTGACACCCTAATGCCACCTGCATACAGTATTCTCTGTCCCCTTCCCTTCTCCAACTCCTGTTTGCTGTTTGTGTGCTATAGGTACAATGGACACACTCAAGCTGAGAAAGTGGCTGCATTGTAGCAGCAGGGTGAAGGGCATCTAGTTTAGCATTTATAGTCTGATGTGATGGTCTTTTGAAATGAAAAGTTCCAATGTTTTCTATATGTGCTATTTTTGAAAGGGTGGAGGGAAAAGAATTATAGAAAAAAGATTCAGCTTGCATTTCCACTTTGCTTCAGGTATAGAGTACAAATAAAATATGAATAAATGGTGTATTATCTCCTCAGTGCCTTTCCGAGGTGTAAACACACATACAGTCTTTTTCACATAACAGCATTCCAGCAATTTAAAGCAGCTCTGCCAGAAGCAAGCTGACAGGACAGGAATTTTCTATTCCTTGGCCAGTGACTGGCTGTATGCTCTTGGGCATGGTATTTCATGTCTTTGTACCTGTTTCCCCTCTGACCTTTTGTCTGTTTTAGCTTCCTTTTTCAGGCTACAGCTTTTCTAGCCTGTGTGAGTGTACACCACCTAGCATAGTGGAGGCCTGATTCTGTCTGGGATTTCTAACCACTAGTGTGATGCAGATAATAGCAGTCATCCCCCAATGTTCCTTGTCCTCTCATGCACCTCCTCAGGCAAGCCCTATCAACTTCTCAGAGAAGAGTGCTGCCATTTGTTCTCTTGTAGGGGTAAAGAAAAAATTGTAAGCTAACTCATGTAGACATGTCTCTGTATAATAAAATGCCCAGCAGTAATTCAGTTCTGTTTACAGTCCTGAGCATTGATAGGGGCTGGGCAGATAGCCCTTGAAGAGGGAATCCTCAGCATAGGTATAGAAGAGGATTCTCCAACGCTCCTGTGAGCTGGTGTCTCTACAAAGGTGTTTCTGCTTCTGCCAGATACGGCAATATTCCCTTTGTGAATACTCATTTATTGCATACAGACTCTGGGAGCAGCATTTTATTTTGGGTACACATTAGGGGCAGCAGCAAGGAGAACATTTTCATTCAGGCCATCAAATGTGCATCTGTCTGGTGAACTCAGCAAGCTCCTGTTTCATATTCTGTTACCTTGGCCCTGAACCATCCCCTTAAGGTGCTCTCAGTGTTATGCATTTTCATGACTTCCCCGTCTGGCCTTTCAGATTTGCTGCAGGCAAGACAATGTGCCAGGATGCACTCAGTAACACTGTTAGTTTTACTGACTTGTGCTGCTATCCCCTAAAAGCAAAGTAATGAAGTTGCTTTGGATGTGCATTTTTATTAATAGAGGCATTGGAACAGGAGCTAATAAAGTGCAAAAAGCCCTGTGGCCTGCTATCAGTCTAATCCTTTTCAGTTGTGACTGTAAATCTGCTGTTCCACATTCTGTCAAAAGCTTACTGATGAGTTTCTCAATGTTATGTTTCTCTACCTTGCAGACAGAAATATAAGTAGGTGTTTCACTCAGAAATAGCTCTGCTTTACAGATGAGGTTTATTAACTAACTTAATGCTACCCTCTTCTGGCTGTTCAGCTCCCCACATACACACCACCTGCTGACTCTATATAAAATGGCTATACGTGCTAAAAAAAGGCAAGTAGTGACTTCTCTATGTTCCAGGATTTGCTATGCTCCTTCACAGTTAGCGAGTTGGATAATTTCTTAGTTTTCCCATATATTGCATTACAGTAACAGAAGAGTGATTATAAAGTGTTACACAAACTGCATTTTTATTTCACAAATAAACAATACAGGAGAAAATCCAATTAGCTTTCCTGATAGTCCCATAGGACTGAAAGGATTAAAAAAAGTATCAAAATGAACAGGCAGAGTAATTTTTCTTTCTTATCACTGTAAGAGCAGCCATGATTCATGTCACAGAAGGGAAAAAGTTCTGAGATCTCAGAAACAAGCTGGTTTTGTCATTGCAGACAATCTGATTTAGCCAAAGCCTAAGAAATGACATGGAGGGATAAAAATACCCCAGGCTTGCTCACTACCTTGACATTTTGCTACTTTGGTAAAGACTTTGAGAATTGGTATCTGGCTTGGACAGATCACTTCTAAGGAGCAGTGGGAGCATTGGAGAAAGCTTTTGCCACTTGTTCACAAGAAAAGCTGGTGTTTCACCTTTGCAGATCTCCTTTCCAAGCGCAGTGGAGTTCCCCACAGCTCAGTAGCAGGCCAGGATGCTGGCTGCGCCATCCTCCCATGGGAGGCAGTTTCCCTCAAACTGTATAAAACCATTCCCCTCCCAATAAACCATTATTGTGGATCTGATTTTGCACCTATAGTGCCCTTGTTACCCAGTAGATTTCTGCTTGCCATTAAAAACCATACAATAATAATTTCTGACTGAATATTTCACTGGTTGCAATGAGCAGTAACTGAAATTGCAGCAAGAGAACAAACCAACACCCCTCCCCCATTTTTATACATTTTGACAAAGTCACTTCTTGATTTTGTGGAAGAGAAATACATCAGGAGACTGGAAGAGCTCTTTTGAGGTCTCCAGGGTAAATATACTACCTGGTATTAATGATAGTTCATATTTTTTAGCTTAACTAGGTTATGGAGTCTCTTGGGCCATGAAACACAGTAGGTTTTGTCCTGACTGAGAAGCAATGCCGGGCGCATGGGCTGCAAGGCAGCTGTGCCGTACCTGTACCTGTCAGGCCTCTCACCTGGACAGCCAGAGGGCAAGGACTTGGGGGCACATCTCCATACAAACGTTTATGTAATTAGAGGGAGGAGCCATTTGTTTTCAATTTCTGCAGGGCTTTAGCACTGTGCCCAGGTGCTAGATCTGAGGTTGTTCATGTGACACCTCATTTAATTGTATCAAAAAAAACGGGGGAGAGGGAGAAGAAGCAGAAGATCTAAATGGTGAAAAATAAAACATGAAGACAAGCTGTTTTGCCTCCGATGCCGCAGTTTCTGCTCCGCGGCCTGCAGCTGTAGCAGGGCGAGCCAGCTGGGCGGGGAGGGATAGAATCATAGAATCATTTAGGGTGGCAAATACCTTTAAGTTCATCAAGTCCAACCATGAACCTAACACTACCAAGTCCACCACTAAACCAGCC